ATGCTGCCAGATCTAGCCAATTGTAGCCATCCAATGGGGGTAAAAGGGGTTATTTCTTTAACACATCTTAGCAAATAATCATGCTAATGTTTATTCTCAGCCAATGGGAGGTGGCCAAGCTACATGGGGCAAGAGAGGAAGGGGCTGCAACACATGTCACATGCAATGTGTTAATCATGACTACACCTATGGTTTGTCAAGTGAATGGCCTTGTTTGGTAATGTTTTTTTGGGGTTTATAAAATGGCGAGAGAGCCCTTGCCACTACTGCTGATTCACAATCCAAATATGAGGCACTACGTCAACACTACTAGAATGAGCCATGTCCTGATATGATTTGTGTCAAGATCTAATCAATTTGTCTACACCTTCTTTTAGCATTGTTTCAGTTCCAAGTTTGCTTTGGGTGTGGTAGAGTTAAAAAATGAAATCTATATGGCAAGATGATAGTGATTGAGCGGAGAATCACTGCTGGAAGCAACACTATTATCTTGAAAAATCACTAAGGTTAGTTTTCTATTGTGCAAGGGATTTACTTCTTTTGTATTGTGTATTCTAGGTGAAAAACTTTCTTCAAACAAGTAGGATTTGTGCGATGTGATCGACCATCTCAATGTAAGTTAACATTGTATTTTTAAAATTTTCTACTTTCCTATTGTCACCTCTTTTTTTTCTAGATTGACGCAAAAAACCCATGTGTGATTATGTCTCAAGACATGAGTCAAGATTTTTTGAGTACTGGTAGCAAGAAAGAGAAATTCAAGGTAACAATTGCTTTTGTTTCCAAGCTGAAGGTGGTCTAACATATGCTTATACTATAGTTTTACTTCAAGGCAACACTTTTGGAGAAAGTCTCAAAATTGCCGGATATGAACACGAAGACTATTCAAGTGTGTGATGATTTCCTTCAAAAAGACAAGAAATCTTCTGAAGTGCTTGAACAAGATTTAGTAAAGATAGAAGAAAAACTTCTCCATGCGGAACAAATGGATGAACTTGGCAAAGAAGTTCGCACCTTGCAAAAGAGATTGGTTTGGGCTATAATTCATGAGATAAACAAGAAACTCAAAGACATCCAAGTTTTGTAAGAGAACTTAAGCAACTTATATTTCTAGTTGAAGAGGACATTAAGATGCAAACAGTGAGCAGTTTGGTCTTTTATTTGTTGGATGTCTAGGTTTTTGTGTTGCAGCAATTACTTGCACAGACATTATTTTCAATGTAATAATGATAATCAAAATAGTGTTTGCTCACTGGAACAGCATATGCTAAACAATGACTAGTGATTAAGACCTTTGAGGCTTCCCGGGCCAAGTCTGCTGAGAGCGAGAGCTGTTTGCAACGCTTGGAAACAGATTATTGATTCTTTGTGGTTTTCATGCCGCTACAGGGATCCATCGCCCTGCATCTTACTGACAAAGAGGGCTTGCCCATTTGCAACATATGCCACTTGGTGGGTAAGTGGTAAGTTTCCATCCACATCTATTCAATCAGTCTCCCAGTCCGGGCTGGTTCTGCTCCGGAAAAGTAGAGGCTTTTGGTTCTTCAATAGGTGGAAATGGCACCCCTTAAGGCTGCCATTTGCAACAGAGATTGCAACTCTAGTGGATCACGAGCAGAGCTTTCGAGTAGTATTTCGGTTGCGTAGATTCTTTCAAACGGCAGTCCTCAGCTCCTGGAAGTCTGAGTGGCTGGTCACAGAGCACAACCAAAATGAGGATATCAAGAGTTGGGATTTCACGAAGTTTCTCACGTCCTCTTCCGCTGTTTGTGGGAACATCATCCATTCTATTTGGATCCGAGAAAAAGGTGAAGCTACTAAGCTATCGCACAGACAATGGCAAGCTCGTTTCACTCCACCACGTCAAGCTCGGGAGTGAACTCGAAGGTGGGGAGGCAAGCTCTATTTGCTTGGAAAGAGCACTGGTGTGTTTGGGCAAGAGGGGAGGACGCAGTTATGATAAGCCGGGCACCAGAGAGCATCTCTCCCAAACGTTTCTACAAAACTTCCATAAACATTCACAGGAATGTAATCTACTGGATTCCTGATGGTTGGCAAGCGACGCTAGTGACATACAACCTTAATAGACAGGATTCATGGGAAGTGCTACCACTCCCAATTAAATTGTATAACTACATCGGACTCTTACACATTTTAGAGTTTACCATATGCAGAAAGTCCATAGGTCTCTACTTCAACAAGAACAAGGAATATAAAAACGCATTCAATACAAGCTTCCAACTATCCTATACACCGACTCACAGAGAGGTTCCCCCATCTTCAATCGCCTGGGAAATCTAGAGCATAGATTGCCCAGACAACACGAAGGTAATCCGGTCCCAAAGTGATCACTACAACATCAGCTATAAACGTTCCCCATAGATTGCAGAAACATAGATTTCTCATAAGAATGGAAGCGCTAAACATCTCAACATGGGCATCATAGTTCTGCGATGTATGTCGCAGCGGCCACAGCAAAAACGAAGTAAACACTTCCTAGCTTTGTTAGAAGCTGTGGTGAGTTACGTGTCTTGCTGCGTGAGACTCGAGTTTTGTAGCAGCCAGCTGACCACCCTACAAGAGCTGCGACTGTTTAAAAACAATACCACGAAATCATGGTCGATTACAGTAACTTTTTTAGAGCCTCCCTATGTCCACACTCCAAAGATTGGTACATTCCTGTGATGTTTTCGGATATAATTAACCTGTGTTCAGATGGCGAAGGAGCTTTCTGGAAAAATGCTGGTGGAAGCTGCTCGTTACCAATCCCAGTATGGGTCATGGCGCAAAAACCTCGCAAGCTTGGAGGGTGTGAGCTCATGTCGCCTGTGTTTAATGTTTGTGCTTTTCCTTCCTTGGATTATCTGTCCTCACCTTACGCGGAAGCTCTCTCACAAGGGTTTCAACGTCACTCGGATCATCATCAATCTTCAGAGGACTGAAAAAAGAGTGAAAAAAAGTCAAGAGCGGCAAGAATAGGATCCTTGAAGATCTCGGCTTCTATAGAAAGTTTCAGGGAGCACGGGAGTTTGAGTTTCTGCCGAACTTGTAAAAGAAAGTTGTATCTGAGACTCCGACCACTAAGACGTAGTATAATACTTAGAAGAAAAGAAAGAAAGATCACTTAGTGCACTTATATCCGCGGCTAGAAACAAAAGCCTCGATTCCAACGGTTCCAGTAAATCATCTCGTTGTTCATCCCCGTCCTCGGAATGCCGAGGACTAGAGCCATCCCCCTGTGCTACGGATTTAAAGACACGACTGAAGAAGCTGTGATTTTTTTCAAGCTAGTCAGTCCCCGCGGAAAAGCGCTCTTCTAGAATAATACCTCTTGCCATAGAGAATGCTCGAGAGCTCAGAAAGCTCCTCGTCGCTAAGAACTGTATGGAGCTCAGGATCCACAGGGACGAAAATGTAAGAAACCCGTACACATGTTTTCTACGAAGAAGGCGTGCTGTTGGTGTCCCAATAGAGTAAGTCTCGTCCTCATGTCCGGGCTAGATCGGCCACTGTCTTGTTTGTATCGAGAGAATATTCGTGATTCCATCTTATGTCAAGTTGACCAGTCGTGTCTGTTCAATTCTTATTAGTCAATAAGAGAGATGCCCGGGCGTAGCCAGTCGCGAATAAAATCTTCCCGAATAAAATCTTCCTCCAACTGCTCAACTTTGTAGCCAGTCGCGAATAAAATCTTCCCGAATAAAATCTTCCTCCAACTGCCCAACTGCTCAACTACCAGCTGCTTCCATGCAAACTGACGTTTTATATGCTTTTCTTGAAAGTCTCTTGGAATCTCGATCAAGAGTACCGCATCACAATGCTGTTTGTCTTCGTTGAAAGACTAATATAATATGGCGATGGCATGTAAATGCAGAGCAGCAAATTGATGGACTTGGTTGTGGCCTTGTTCGTCCTTGGCATTGGCTTGATCAACTCATTGGGAGAATTCAATCGTCGCAGCAGCGGCCATTTCTGTCGCAAAAAAATTTATATTAGTAAATGCCAAACTGAGAGAAGGTTACAAACTATAAGATCTTGCCATGAATTAGTGCACATAACACTATTTAAAGACATTTCACGGCTATTTCAAGTAAATTAGGAAGGGTGTATCTTTTTAAAAGTGTTGTTGCAATTCAAATGCTTCTTGGGGAGTTCCTTATGCAATGTGAGAACTTTAATAAAATATTGTGATTGGGAATCTGATAAATGAAAATTCTGGGTAAATAAAAATTCTTTATTTTAATTGGGAATATACTTAGAACACTAAAGATTATATTACTAACCAGACCTAATTAAAGTGTCCATTTTTTGCTTTGACGCAACTCTAATTTACCATCGGAGTCAATAAATCGGCACAACTACCACCCATGCCTACCAGCAATTTACTAATGCCCAGCGTTTTCTTCACGAGATTGAATTCCAGGTCTCACTGCTGGAATGTACCAATCACCGGGGTGGAATCCTCGCCCCCATTGACATTTCCCACGCATATGGGCACCAAGTAATTCCCCGCCCCAATCTCCCACACAAATCCCCGATCATTGGCAGGCTCTCCGAATCGATCCGGTAGCAGAGGTAGAGCGCCCCAAATCGAGGCTCACGTTGGAGGCGATTGCGCAGGGCTCTGTCTGGCATGGCAGTGTAGCGACGATCTAGCACTATCCTCATGGACCTGGTTTTGAGGTTAATTGAATTACTATTCCATTACATTGATAAAGATGAAAGGCAATTTTGATTGTTTTAGAAGAGTGTTTGGAGTGTGTTTTTTCTTTAAATTTATTTTTTGCATTGTCTAGATTTCTTTTAACTTTTCATTTCTTCTCTTTTGCTTTATATTTATTTTCATGGTAAAATAGTATATTCCTCCTTTGACTCTGATGCTATAATTAGGTGTGATTAAATTAGTATATATTCTGCTATTGAATTAATGCAATGCTCTAGGAATCTCTATGCATTCTTTGTTAAATTAGAGACGCTCATGGTAGTGTTTTCATACTAGTATGGAGGCTATTGTTTCATCCAGCAAGATCCATGCAGTAGAACATTTGCTGAGCCTCAAGAGCTACTCTCTCCCTCAAATCCTCCTTGCCCATCCCGTCAAGTGTCACCCCGACTACACCTCGATCTGCAAGGAATCGGACGAATGGATCTTCAGCTACCTCGGCGTCACAAGCCCGGAACACAAGAAGCGCTTAGCGCAATGGAGGGTCCCAATCTTCGCCGCCTTCCTGACGCCCCCCAGCAGCCCCAAGAGGCGCACGCTTTTGGGCGGCAAATTTACGTGGCTGATCACTGCGCTGGATGATCAGCTGGACGAGAGCAAGATCTCCCAAGCTGGGCGGAGCTGCCAGTACAGGGACGCCATCTTGAGCATTTTCTCCGGCAGAAGCGATTACCCGGCCATACTCCCGGCGGAGGTTCCTCTTCTCAGAGCCTGCGAGGAGCTCATGCCGGAAATCCGCTCCTTCATGCTTCCGCCCACTCTCAATCGCTTCCTTGCTTACACCAAGCAGTGGTCGCAGACTTTCGATGTTGCCTATGAGAGCACACAAGTGTTCAAGGAGCTAAGGAGGGACAACGTTTGGATCACCGCATACTTCCCGATGATCGAGATGTTCCTGGGATTGGGTCTTGGGGACGATGTGGCCGGGTCCAAGGATTTCCTCGCCGCTCAGGACGCAATATCGGACCATGCCTGGATGGTGAACGACCTCTTCTCTTTCGCCAAAGAGTTCCGGGACGAGAAAAAGCTCAGTAACATTCTGTCCGTGAGCTTGCTCATGGATTCGTGCGTGCACACCATCCAGGACGCCATTGATCTTCTGTGTACCGAGTTGCAAGCAAAGGAGGAGGAGTTTCTCTACTACCACGGGATCCTTGTCAAGCGAGCCCAAGCAGGGAACAACCAAGATCTCTTAAGGTACCTAGAGGCAATCCTTGCCGTGATCCCAGGTAAATTTCCATCTCTCCATCAATCGATCACCCTTCTCATTCTCTCAGGTAATTTACACTTTCACTACATAACGGCGCGTTACCACGGATACAATAATCCATGTGTAAATGGAGAAGCATGGCATGGTAAAGTTATATTGCAACCAAATACTCTCGGGCCACCACCAAAGCCACATCCATACCTCTATGACATATAAAATGAATTGTATGCGTTTTCGTAAAAAACAAAAATAAGTCGAGTATACTCAAGGATCGTATTTAGGACTCATTTGCTCTGGGTCTGTGGCACAGAAAGCTGGCGAAGTTTCCACCTCCTCTGCAGACTCGAGAAAATGCATGTTTTGGCTGAGAAAGAGGGAGAAATTCCTGAAACTTAAGAAATAATTGCTGTTTTGTGCTCTCACCTGGTGCTCGATCAAGGCTCCACAGGATTGGACCATATAACAAAGGAATCACTGATGCAACAAGCTTCAGGTTCTAAGTCTAATTAATTGCACCAAATCAGGGATGTTTATTCTTGTGCTTCCAGGTTTATTGTTTTCAATTGTCCTCTCCTGTTTTGGGGGGTGAATATTTAGTTTCATGTTTTTGAACATGGCCTTTCTTTAGGAACAAGGATCAAACTGAATTAAATTGGTTTAATCTTGCAAAAAAGAGAAAAACAAAACCCAAGCTTCCAGCACTCTTGACATTTCCAGATGCCTCTCAACTCTGCTCTTCAAGAGGGTGCATGGATCAAATCAAACTTGCTCATACATGCCATCTTCCAGAGCAAGAAGTTTAAACTTTTTTTGTTCTGAGAAGCAAAGTTTATGCCAAAACAATCCTGGAACTAGAAGAGGAACGCTTGTGAAACATTCGCGCCAGCTGAGCGCCATCCCCAGGGCGAAACATCCATTCATTCAAATGTGAAAGTAACAAACACGTTAACAAGTTATTAGTGTAAAATTTGGACGGGAACCTGTTTATTGGCAAGGTCACAGGTTCCAGTCCACAGCCAGAGACCCAATTAAACTTTTTTTTAAAGGTAGGTGATCTTTGTAGGAGATATTGGAATTTCTCCCTTTCTGGTCGATCTACCTATGCTGTTCTTGCAGTACTCTCTGCGATCGTAATAAGGCTGCATCAAGTCACGCAAGGGGTGCAACTTCCAGCTCCTCTCCTATTCTGCAACATCAGAGGTACCACAAGCAAGTCGCCATATGGAAGTTCTCATCTACTGCTGGAACGCGAACTATTGAGCGGAGCAGAGATACCGACACTTTGGACACGAACTTGAACATCGGTTTAGCGATAGCCAAGATTTTCGGCGACCTTCAATGGCTGTGCGTCATGATCTCCAGCCGAGAGGACAGGTCCCAACTAGCCATCTCCCTCCACCGCCGCTTTACGATGCTCCTCTGGTGACCATGCCATCGCCGAGATTTTCTTCTGCCACTGGGGATCATCGCCAAGAACTGGACAGACGAGTGGAACCAGGGCGTTGAGACTGGCATCGCAGCCTGATCAAGCTCCAATTATACGTTTGCAACCTCTGGCCAGCTCCAGGATCGCGAGGAGATTAGACAGTAGGGGTACATCGCCTCATCCGGGACATGGCTTTCAATCCTCCAAAGGCCGTGGTTGATGTGTCCATACTTATGCTCCAGCAGTAGTCTTTCAACCAGGCCTGGAGAGGTCTTCTGCCCGGTGTTTCTCACCACCGTCCAGGTGATTGGGGTGTGCTTCTCGTAAAACGAGAACGCTTACCCGCCTTGGATAGAAGAATCCCGCTACTGTTGGCAAACACAGGCCCTCATCTCCCCTAGGCGTCAGCTTTTAATAGCTCCATCAGTAGAGCTATAATCATCGGTGATCGGCACAGTCGACAATGGTTGGGCGGGCTTGATCCCTTTGCAGGGATTCACAGTAGTCCGTAGGAGTTGAGCAGCGCTATGCCAATGGATGTGGAGCTATCCAGGCCAGCAGCGTAGTGCACGGATCTCCACCGCATCGCCATTGATAGCTGCAAGAATTCATTTGACGAATGAGGGCCAGAAATTCTTGCATTTGCCTGTTATGGGCAAATGCAACGATTGCAATACTCTGAAGCCGTGTGCTGCATGCCCACACTTCCCATACATCTCCATACAAGATTCATGAGGAATCTATGACAATCGAAGCCAGATCAGAATTAATTGGACAAAAGAATTTTTAAACCTGTTGGAGTTTTTGAACATTATATTTTTGCTATGAAGGTAATTTAGTGAATTTAAAAACATTGCAAACATTGTAATCAACAGTCCACTAAGGAAACAATAAAGAGTACAACTACTAATTCTAAATACATCTATGAGTTGAAATTTGTGTTAATATTGTTAGAGCTTTTCCAACCACTCCAACCAAATTGTTTAGGCTTCTAGTGTTGTTTTTCTCATGAACATTTCGTCTGACCGGACATACATGTTATCGATTCCAAGAGGCAAACTCTCCAAGGTAGTATATAAGTTTTAATTTTCATGACAATATAAATTCTTTCTTTATTTGTTCTAATTGATAATGACTTCCAAAGAATTATAAAGTCAATCCCAAGAACTGTGAAAACATGGACCATAAACCAAGTGTGGACTTGTACAAATATATTACACTTGTTATGTATAATGCATTCAAGAAGTTTTATAAGATATATATAATTGTTTAAGAGAGCAAAGATTTGAGAAATGTTTATTGTTTGCTTAGTGCAACAATAAATTCCAAATATCTGGAAATTGGTATTGTTTTGACTCAATGGTAGGGAAGCACAAGATTTTAAGAGTGGTAGAACTTGTAGTTTAGAAAACTAGTTAGTTAGTTGTATGATTATTTTGTTTTTTTAAATTGTAAAATATATTTAACATTTGGTAATAATAAAAATGAAATTTTGTAATGTACCAATTAACGTGTGTATAAAACTTATTGGTCATAAGTAAATTGAAAATATAAAATACTAAATAGTTGTTTTTTTCTAGTATTATGCTACTTATAAAAATAAAATAAAATTCTAGTGTTATATATACGTCCACTCAAAGGGAATATAGAAAGGGTATAAAATATATTATTCATTTTTTTGAAGTTGGAAAACTTCTCAATAAAGATATTTTTGACATTAACTACTCTAAGCTTGTATAAATTTGTGAGTTCTTGTTTGAGAAATTTATTTTTTGATCCAATAACTTTTTTACTTTATAAGGGTGAATAATAAAAAAATCCGTGGCTAAATAATCCAGAGAAATAAAATCTTAAATAGGTAAAACAATGGGTTTTTCATTTAGAGTATCATAATCACCCAAAGTTAAAATTTCTGGTAGAGCAATACCTTCAAATAGAGTAACAGAATCAGGTGCTGAAATAATAAGACCACACATATAAAGAGGTAGTAAAAGGTAATGTTTATCGATTTGCCTTATTACCTTACTAATTTTTTCTTATTTTTCTAAAAACATAATTAGTGAGGCTAGGCTTTGCAAAAGTAGAGGATAAAGTTCAAGTCATAATTATGTTGGGATGATTGAAAGTCTAAGTAAGAATTTCGATACATTTCACTATCATATTATGGTTGTAATACTTTTTATTTTATTTTTTATTTTTGTAGGTGATCTCCTCCTAATTTTATCCTAAGATCCAAAAGTTGTCAAAGCTCTATCACTACCAAGATCTACCACTTTTAAGAAGTGTAGAATAATTAATTATGTAGTTTTCAATATTTTCAGAGGTGATATTTAAGTTTGAGCTAGCCAAATAAAAATAAAAATAAACAAATTTATATGTAAATATAATAGTAGAATTGTGGATTTATGAATTGCTAGACCCCACTTCATTAGGCATTTGAATCTCCATAAACATCCTTAATTGTTAGAAATTCTTATAAAAAACTACTATGCAATGTTCTTGAATCTTGACCCAATTTTTGAAATGGGTTACTGAAATCTTTCAATCTCCCACTTGCTTATACTTTGAAATGGGTTACTGAAATCTCTCAATCTCCCACTTGCTTTATACTTTGCTTGCTGTTGCTTATTTCTCAACGCCTCTACACAGCTAAGTGCCTTGATGGAACACCTCAAACATCCAACACATTTAATGTCTCATAAGTATGGCAAGAAGGATTGCAATCAAGTTTTGTCATTGGCCACTTGGCCAAAAAGTGCTATGCCCATGATCAAAAAGCCAATTGCTCCAATACCATGAAAGTAGCAAAGAGATGTACACACCAGGAGGAAGAATTCTATATCTCAATAATATATAGAAACTACTAACATCTTTACCTCTAACAGGAAACTCATCCGAGCAGCATTTGTTTGCCGCACCTATGCCAATCTCATGTAAATAAGAGTGGAGCTGAGCTAGAGCATGGTCTTTCTTCTCTTAATAGTTTTGAAAACTTGTCTCAGTGGCTGAACTCAAACCAAGAATTATACCTGTAAATCACGCATCAGACCATCAGAAGCATTGCTATTGTAATTTAAGGCGGTATGTATGGTTCTTGACTCTTGTCCAGATCGCTCAAAATGCACAAGAGATTGTCTAGAGATACTGTCTCCATCATTCCTCATCTTCGCCACCTTTTAATTTTTCACCGAGCGATGTGCCGAGTGCATTGCGTTCTCGTAAGCTTGTGGGTGTGACTAGGCTAGTGGAGTCACGCTTAAAAGCTTCTCCTTGTCCCTTACCACGCTCGCAGTGGCTTAACGTAACCAGGAGCTGTTCAGTGACTTCTTCGAACCTCACAGATCTTTGTGTTGTATCATCCCATTGGCTTCTTCTTTTATCAGCCATCAGCTATCTAAACCTGGCAAGCAATCTGGGAATAGCATAAGCTCTTCTGAAACTCGAGAAATTGTTGCCTTTTTCTGCTCTCACCTGATGCTCGATCAAGGCTCGCACAACATAGACTACAGTGAATAACAACGGAACCACTGATGCAACAAGCTTCAGGTTTTGAGTCTAAGTTTGGATGAGACATTAGATGTTGGCTAGATGCTATTGGGACTGTGTATATGAAATGAACAAGAGTAACTTCTTTCTCAAGGACTCGAGTGTGCCAAATCAGTTTATTGCGTTAAGGAAGTGACGGAAGAACTGACGAGAGCTCTGGAGCTAGAATAATGAGAGCAACAAAATACACGCGTGGAAGAACGAACTAAAAGAATGCAAGGAAGAATGCGAGGGCACCTGCTGCGGTCAGCGGGCTGAGAAATCTCACAACTGGATTTTTAGGCTTCTTCGCTGAATTTTAGTTTCGTGAAATTAGGGCTCTTCGTCTAGGGCTGGCAATGGGTGGTGAATAGGAGGAGATCCCAGCGATGTCGATCGCGTCGCCCGCCGCAGCGAATTCATCCGCTTTGCGATCTCAGCTAGCATCGGCGCCAGCGCCGCGTCGAGTAGCAGTAGCAGCAGCAACAGCAGCAGTGTGGAATCTATCAGCAGCTTGCGCCAGGGCATCAATCCACAGTAGCCTCGGCGGCGGCAATCCCTGGCGATCGGCGGCCTTGGGGAGGAGGAGCGCAAGAAAGCAGCAGCACAGGCCTAGGGCTCGCGCCATCACGGCCATGTTCACGGGCATTGTGGAGGAGATGGGCCGGGTGCGCGGCGTGAGCGTGGGCGACGATGGCGGCTGTGAGATGACCGTGGAGGCGAGCATCGTCCTGGACGACGTGAAGCTGGGCGACAGCATCGCCGTGAATGGCACCTGCCTCACCGTCACGGCCTTCGACGCGGGCGCCTTCACGGTCGGCCTGTCGCCCGAGACGCTGCGAAGAACATCGCTGGGCGAGGTCTCCACGGGATCGCAGGTGAATCTGGAGCGATCGCTGCAGCCCAGCTCGCGGATGGGCGGGCATTTCGTCCAGGGGCACGTCGATGGCACCGGCACCATCGTTTCCATGGAACCTGAGGGGAATTCGCTGTGGATCAAGGTGAGGGCGAGCCCGGATCTCCTCAAGTACATCGTCCCCAAGGGATACATCGCGGTGGACGGGACGAGCCTCACGGTGGTGGATGTGATCGACGAGGAGAGCTCCTTCACTTTCATGCTGGTGGGATTCACGCAGCAGAGGGTGGTGATCCCGGGCAAGGCCGTGGGCAACAGGGTGAATTTGGAGGTGGACATCTTGGGCAAGTACGTGGAGAGGATGCTCCAGGGATACGCGGTCCCGGCCGCCAGGAGCTAGAGCGCTGGAAGAACTCGCCCAAGAACTAGGAGTTTGCTTATGGAATAATAAAGAGGTCGGTGGTTCGATTCGTTTCCCCGGTGTGTTTAGATTAGGTTTTGTGGTGGTCCGGCAGCGGGAGAGAGCACAGCTCGGCGACGCGAGGCGCCACGCCCGCTAGGTCCTCCAGGTGAATGTCCAGTGACTAGAATCGCAGCGTAGAATCGCGTAATGTAGGTTAAGAGGGAGGGAGAGAGAGCGAGCAAGCGAAGAGACGAAGACGACCCTAGTCTCGAATCAGACAGTAGCGGCTTTATTTTTTCCGGAGCTTACGGTCTAGAAATCAAGACTGCAACGGGAGGAGGTGGAGGGAATTTTTGTTCTGGGTTTTTTTGGTTCTTCCTGTTCGGAGAAATGGAAACGGCATAGGAAAAGTTTTATTTTTTGGTCTTGGAGAGTTTAGATGGCTGTCATTCCGTCACTGGACATCAGCTGGCAGGGAAATCACAAGCGCAAGTGCAAGCCGCTCGGGTTTAAGAATCTCGGCAACACTTGCTACTTGAACAGCGTACTTCAGTGCCTGACTTACACTCCGCCGCTCGCGAACTATTGCCTCCGGGGCCAACATTCCAAGCAATGTGAGTTTTTGACTCTGGGTGGTAACTTGCCCTTTCTTTCTCATCGATTCTTTCTTTTTTCTCTTCTTGTAGGTGATGGAGCCAACTCTGCCTGCCCGTTTTGCATGTTGGAGAACAGGATTTCTCGGTCGTTCGATATTGAGGTGCCGGTCGATGCCCCGCAACGGATATACAAATACCTCCAGACGTTTGCGAAACATTTTCGGGCTGGACGGCAGGAAGACGCTCACGAGCTTTTGAGATACGCCATAGATGCATGCGACAGCGCCTGTGCGCGGCTCCAGAAACGCGGTTCGAAGAGCTCCGACCAGACCGTGATGAAGGAGATTTTTGGAGGATTTTTGCAGAGCCAAATCTGGTGTTTGTCGTGCAACGCAGTGTCTAGCAAGCTGGACAGCGTCATGGACCTCAGCCTGGACATCGTACGAACTAAGACCTTGAAGGAAGCCATCTGCAATTTCTTCCAGCCGGAGGTTTTGGACGGCAACAATAAATATCAGTGTGAGAAGTGAGTATTTTTCTTACATTATGATTTTCCTCAGCGTCTCTTACTTTTTCGTTCCAGGTGTAAAAAGCTTTCAGTCGCAAGGAAGCAGCTGTCGATATATCAGTCTCCTAATGTTCTCGTCATCCAGTTGAAGGTATTGTCCCAGCAACCATTTCTCTACCAAATGCTAACGCTTGCTTCTTCAGAGGTTTGAGAATTTTCTGGGCGGCAAAATTGATACCCACGTAGAGTTTGAAGAAGAGCTGAAGCTTCGAAGCCACATGTCAAAAAATAGTCCGGTAAGCTCTTTGAATTCTAATAATTTATCGTGATATAGTTCTTTCCAGGATGTGCATCCCGATTATTCTCTGTATGCTGTAGTAGTCCATTCTGGATTCTCGCAATATGGTGGGCATTATTATGCTTATGTCAAGGTATTTGTGTTTTCCTACGTCATAAAGTAGTGTTTTCTTACTTATACGCTTTCCAGGACCCTCGAGGACAATGGTATTGCTGTAACGATTCTTTCGTTTCAGCCGCCTCCAGCGCGACTGTATTGTCGGAGAGAGTCTATATACTTTTCTACGTCCGGGATTCTTCCAAAATTATGAAAGACGGTCTTTCTTCCGCCTCCTCTACGCCTTCACCACCTCCAACGCCTGATCCCGTCGTGCTCAGCCCCAATGCTTCTTGCTCATCGGCGAAGAATGGCCAGCCGAAAGTTACATTTTCATTTGCGAAGCGAGAGAAGTCTACTGCCCTCAAGCCGATATCCGTAGCAGAGGAAGTATTGAAGCTGATTGACCCCAAAACTCCTGTAGACAAGCCGGAGAGCAAGCCGCCTGCGGCGATATCGTCGGCCACAATGTCAGCTTCAAAGTCAACTCCTCTCGAAAACTCTGTAAAGTCGGCACAAGCTAAGGACACCAAGTCATCCGAAAACGGTGTTAGCGAGGAGATCCAACCGGCAGTCCCTCCATCACCGCCAAGGGAAAATGATGCAGCACGTGCAAGCGAGTCGGCAGGTTCCAAAGTTTCCGTGCCACAGAAAAGACAAAGGGACATTGAAGCTCGTTTGCACGATTTTAAGGCCTCCGCAGATTTCGAAGCGCTAAAACTAAGGTAACTATGAAACGTGCTTCTTTTCTGACTCCCACGTTTGTTTGCTCTTAGGCTGGAGAATGAAGGCCGGGAAATTTTGAAACAGTCGGGCTGGTGTGATGAGGTTAGACGGTCCACAAAGCGATGCCGCAGAGATGACCCCGAGGCAAGGTGAGCAAAACTATTGATAGTAACAAAACAGTGCTAACTTTTGGTACGTGCAGGGACAAAATGCGTGAAGAGCTGCGCCGTCAACTCCCTGAGTCGGTGAAGGAGCATCTCGTGAGCCTTCTACAAAGTTTTTACATGACTAAGAATTTCATAGGTGGGAGTTTTTGAGAGTCTTGGTGCTATCCTACCGAGCTATTAAGTTTTGTAGGGGATATAGATAGAGATCAGGACTGGAAATGTGAGCCGAGTTATGGAACGGTATCTTCTTTCGAAGCTCTTTCTCTTACTTACATCCTCTCTGGGGTCTTGAACAACATTTACAGACAGGGTCTATCTATCTGAAAGTTCCAAGTTAAACAAAACAAGAAGACAGATACTAGAAACATTCGCAACCACGGCAGTGGAGAGTACACCTCCGATGACGAAGGAATCTACAGGAGAAGGATGTGGAGCCATGGACCATTCATGCCACAACTTCTCAACGCTCAAGCCAAGTATTTGCCAGGTAAAGCTCTCATTCCACCCGTCTGCCATTTTCCTGTTGATCAAAGCTACGAAGTCGGACTGAAACGAGTCTTCCAGGTACACGAGGAAGTGTGCCGTGGCATACGAGCCAACGTCCCAGGGGCCTTTGGTGCCGGTCACGAACTCATCCGGCTCGAACTGGTTGTCCGGTGGGAGGCCGGCTTTCAGGCGCACGAACTTTGCGATGCCCGTCAAGAGTCCCGGAGGAGCGGCACCAATACCGTTGATCCAAGCATTGGTCATCTGCTCGTAGATGAGCCCCTCGATCTCTCGGGTAACGTCTCCCTGAAACTCCCCCAGGTGCTGCTGGCTGATCTCAATGACTGACATGTTGTCGATGGTGGTGGTGCTCGCAGTCTCCCCCACGGGCAGCGTGCTAATAACCAGAACAATCTTTCTCCTGCCCGAGGAGCTCACTTGGAGCAGTCTGGTGGTGAATCTCAGTGCCTGCTTGAGCACACTCTTGGCCCCGGCATCGCCCATGTTCTCGACAAAGCTCCGGTTCCCGCGACTGCTCCCGGCCTCATTCAGAACCTCGAGCTCCGGAGCGTGAGACTTCGACTTCACGGGACTTACTTGGGTCCAGAGCATCAATCCCAGCACGAGAACCAAGTAAGAAGCTCTGTCGTTTGGATGCTGCTCGCTGCGCATAGCAGACCTTTCGCTGTTTCTGGATCCAAGAAAAGCCACAGAGACACAGAGAGAGAGAGAGTGAGAGAGAGAGGGCCAGCGTTGTTGATGTATCGCTGTCTGAGCTACAGTGGAGCATTCCTTGCGTACATAGTAGACAAGAAAAGCTTCTTTGACTTCACTGGAAATTAGAGCAACACTTTTTTAAACTTAAAACACTAGACGGCGGGAGTTAAGATTAGGGCTCTTGAAAGATTCCAGCGAATATCCGTCAGTCCAGCTCGTTGTCGCCATAAGCCACGAACCGGTAGCGCTGCTCGTAATCCCCCCGGAAGAAGAGCTGCGCGTCAAACCACTTGGGAAACCTCACCAGATCGCCCGCGAAGTACTCGCCGCTGAGATCGCTATTGACGGGGCGGACGAGCAGGCTGCCGCTCACAATGTAGACCCACTCGTCCACGATCCAATCCCAGAGATAGCCGCACTCGCCCGATTTCCAGCGCGACCAATCCGCCACGCCCAGCTCCTCGAGCCGCCGCTCGCTCGCGCCGCGCTCCACCCGAATCGCGTAGATCTGCTCCATGGGCTTGCGGCGGAAGATGGTCCGGGAGAGCTCCTTGGCGCTCAGCTTCCTCTTGGGCGCCGCGAATGTGGAGGGGCCGCCCTTGGCCATCGCGGTCGTGGGCGCGATCGCCATGGCCGCCATGGTGGATGATTCCTAAAGCCCTAGATAAACCCCAAGCTGCGAACACTCGAAAATGGAGTCCCCAAAATTCTTTCTTGCGAGGTTTTACATGAGATTTTCAAGCTCGCTTGTTTCCCTGGTTCTGTTGGTAGTAGAATCCTCCCGGAGCGGCGGTAGCGCCCGCGCCGCCGGTGGTGGCAGCCTACGAATGAATCGATCGTTTGAGAAAACCAAAAGATCGAAGAAAAAACGAAGAGATCGAAGGAAAAGCTTACTTGGACAACTCCAGGGAGCGTTCCCATGCCCAGAGAGTGGAGAAGATCTTGCGTCTCCTTGTCAACCTGAGAGAGAGGAGAGTTAGAAGCTAGAATCGATGGAAATGCAACCTTATACCTCGATCACGTCGGTCTTGATTTCCGACTCCTCGGGCACGAAATCCATACGGCGCTCGCGCTCCTCCTCCTGGAGCTTGAGCGAGATGCCGCGCACTGGCCCCTTTTGGATCCTCCTCATCAAATGCTGCGAAGCAAGCAAGAGAAGAAACGATAAGAAGCTTTAGATCTTTGTGAGGATTTCTTACAGTGGCGAATCCAGCGATCTTGTTGCGCAGGCGCTTGGACGGGATGATCGCTACTTCCTCGGCGATCTTCTTGTTGGTCTGGAAATCCAGGGTCATCCGAGAGTAGTACCTCTCGATGATGACCCTCGATGCCTTCTTCACAGTCTTGGTTCTAACGCGCCCCTGGACAGAGATTTCGCACAGTCACGCCACAAATCTCCCAGCAACCAGACACTCACCATGCTTGCTCTTGCAAGATCAGCGAGAGCGCGCGCGCCGCAGTAGTAGCTTCTCCAAGAACCCTAACCCTAGCCACCAAAACCCTAGCAAGGAGAATATCCCAAGGAACAAGGATACGCACAAGCCACGTGTACATTTTCGATTGGTTGGAAGCCTTTGCGTCATCCATTCGAGAGGAGGAAGATCAAGGCGCTCGAGGCAGCGGCGAGGGTTGGATCAAAGGTCTGTGGCTCGAAATCCTTGCCTCTGGATCGCAATGTATGCTAGATTGTGGCTCTAGAGCTCGTAATCTAGGTGTTCTTGGCGACATTTCATCCACTGACGCTGTGCGTGTGCTCCAGAATCTATGGCAATGGCGACCGCCGTGACTGGCACCTCCACCGCAGTGCTCCAGAGACAATTCCTCGGATCAGGCCTCCGGATTCGTCCACAGCACGCGCGCGCGGCTCTCCACACCACAGCCATAATCTCGTCCAAGCTCGCCAAGGAGGAGCTGGAGAGTGGAATTGGCTACAATGCGCTCGCGGGGGCGGTGTTCGCGGCGCTGGCCAGCGTAGAGTCCGCGAGCGCGGCACAGCAAGCGGTGGCGGAGCTCGCGGCCGGGGCGGACAGCGATTCCAGGGGATTGGCGCTGCTCGTCCCTCTCGTCCCGGCGGTGGGATGGGTGCTCTTCAACATCCTCCGCCCGGGGCTCAACCAATTCGAGAGGATGAAGAACGCCAAGGGGGTGGCGATTGGATTGGGCGGCCTGGGCGCCATGGCAGCACTAGCAGCTTCCACTCCGCCTCACGCCGCCGCCGCCGCCGCCAGGGAGATCGCCGAGCTCGCGGAGAGCGATTCCCGGGGCCTGGCCGTGCTGGGCGTTCTCGTCCCAGCGATCGGATGGGTGCTCTACAACATCCTCCGGCCGGCATTGAATCAGTTCGATCGGATGAAGGCGTCCAAGGGGGTGATCGGGGCGATTGGCATTGGAGCGGCGGCGGCGGCGGCGGGGCTGGGTGGCGCGCCCGAGACGGAGGCCGCGGCGGCGCAGGAGATCGCGAGCATCGCCGAGAGCGACAACCGGGGACTGCTGCTGCTGCTGGTGATTCTTCCCGCGATTGGATGGGTGCTCTTCAACATCTTGAAGCCGGCACTGAACCAGCTCAACAACATGAAATCCAAGTGATCGATCGAGGCGAAACGAAAGAGATTTCTTCGAGAGCGTTCGCTTTAAAAATATAAACATGTATAAAATAGGGCATATGTAACAAAGGAAAAACCCTCCTGATTGATATGTGGCTGTTTAGATCAACTTTGTGGAGTGAAACAGCCTATTTGCAATGGAGGAGACTACGATGACTTTGAGAAACGCCTCCAAGGAGTTTCCGCGAGCAGAAGCCATTGCATTGTGCTTGTCTCCGTCTCAGCTCTTTCAGATCTCGGTAAAATGCACTGCCTCGGAGCTTTGGAATATTCAAAACCTAGAACTGGAGGATTATGTCCAAAAATTGTTCGAGCTCGAGTTGAAAAATTGTGATTTTTAAATCACAAAGACAAGAATTGGTCACAACCACGAGTCTTGATATAAAACCGTGGCGAAACGAACGAGACTTCTTCGAGAGATTTCCGGCTTTGGATTTGAGTTGAAAGACGACGGACAGATGCAATCTTGCCATTTGGAGGCATTTGCTGTAACCGGAAAAGACAAGGATTCTGTGGCGTGATTTTCTGCTCTTGATTGCAAACCGTAGCGTCCAACAGCACAAGCCAAGGAATCCTCGACGGAGTTTTGAGCTATTAAGATCGTGATACTGAGCCTTATGGAACATGATAGACAAAGACGTACGAGAAGATGAAACGAAAGAGATTTCTTCGAGAGCGTCCGCTTTAAATACAGACCCTGTGAATCTCGAAATCCCCTGTGCTTGATTCATTGGATTTACCAAGATAAATTGTTCTTTACTTCCAGGACTGTTTTGTAGATAATCTTTGCGGAGTGCAGCAGCCCACCTTCGATGTGAGACCACAACCTGTTTGAGAGACGCGTCAGAGCGTGGCTCATGTTTCTTGGGCTGTGGGATGTGATGGACGGAGAAAATGCCCCGATGTGGAACGCGGCCGAGGCGCGAGAGCGCGAGCATAGAGCACGCGGAGCCATTGCATAGTGCTTGCCTCCGTCTCTGCTCTATGCAAACCCGGATCTCGGTACACACACGGCCTCGGAGCTTTGGAAGTGGCTAGGCTTATTTCTGCCTGCACTGTCCGGTTAAACTTGCCCTTTAGGGGCATTTGCTGCAAACGGCAAATAAAAAGATTGTCCGACTGCTCACTGCGTAAACTGTCATGTATGAGTACTAATAAAGCTCTTATCATCGTTAATGGCGAAGCAATCGTTTGTCAAAAACGGCTTCCAACGGCACAAGCCAAAGAATCTACGATGGAGTTCGTGATAGTGCACACAACACAACCATGAGTCTTATATAACATGATAAACAAAGAAGTACGTGGTACTGTCAGAGATCAACCGCGGGCCTGCCGGGCGAAAGCTAGCAGCCAAGAGCGCGAGTCCGTGATCTTCTCCATTTCCCAGCCCAGAAATGTTTACTAGTACCACTTATCTGCCGCTGCTGCTGCTGCTGCTGCTTTCGTTGCTTGTCCCGTGGCCATGTCCGTGTTCTGGTCAGCACAGCCTTGGCCTGAACACTCTCAAACATCGCCTGCCACAGGCGAGGCACACAAGATAAGAAAATGCTTAAATGGGGTGACCTTCTCAAAAAGAAAGGACTTCTATGGCTCATGATCTAGCGTCCCAGCTACGATTAAGAAAAGCAGTGACTGGAATGAGAGAAGACTTGACTTGTTGGGAGGAAGCATAGCATCATCAGCATGTAGTACAGGCACAGCTATAGTCAAACTCCCCTACTCATGGTACTTAAAACCATTTTTAGAGCAACCTGAAACTTTGATTGTCAACCAAAGTTTTTCAAAGAATAGGTCCTTTTAGCAGGCAAGCAGGCAGGCTACCAGGACCTGGGACACAATGCATTAACTTAACAGCACCAGCACACCAGGGAGGGGGCTCACTCATTCATTCACTCATTCACTGGCGACCTGGACCCAGCAGAGAGAAAGCAATGCACAGAGCATGGAAACACCATCTAGAACGAGCATGGCCGCTGTGCTGTGCAAAGATATATAAACAAGCAATAAAAGACACACCAGAAAGTGACCACTCCTACAACCCAAAAATTCTTCTCCCTGCTCCAGAGAGCAACTAGTAATTCTCCCTCTCCCCACACACAGCACCACAGCCAGACGCAGTCACTCCAAAAGCGAGAAGGCAGGAAAGCACCATAAAAGATGAAGAGTAAAGAAAGGCACAGAGTAAAAGGAGAAGCTACTTACTTGCCACCAGTGTCGGAAGAATCTCCTCTTGGAAAGCCTTAGGTTCCTGTTCCAAGGACGTAGATTTTCTGCTGCTGCTGCTGTCACTTGTGGTGCACCTCGGTCGTACCCAGCACTGCTACATCTTGACCACAGCCATTCCTTCTCAACCTCTGCACCACCACCACTTCGCAAAAGGTCGCCACCAGCAGCACTTCCAGCAGCAGCACGAGGACGACGACGACGAGCACAAGGCTCCTTCTCCACATCCGCCTTGGGATCGCCTTCGCCACCACTCTCTTCATCTGTTGCTTCCTCTTGGAGCACCACCACGTCTTCATCCGAGTTGCTGAAATCTGGAAATATCAGACAGTATTTTATGCTTTTCAGGCAATCAGCAAAAGAGGAAGCAGAGCAAGCAGCCATGCACAAATCCCTGTCTGTCACGCTGCAGAAGCCAAACACGGGTCCAGCAGACACCAACCAAACCAAGCCCACTCCAGCCAAAATCCCAGCCAGCTAACACACTGAACACAAGCACAGCAGTAGCAGCAGCAGCGAGGCAGCAATTGCGTCTCACAAGAAGAAGAGAAAAAAATCAGCCAGCCTCCACCCTCTCACTCACCCAACGCCCCACTTAAAAAACAAACCGAGACAATGCCAAAGAATGCCCGCCTTGCAACTCGTAAACAATCAAGCATGTGCACACCGATCAATCCCCCATACGAAGGACCGAGTCGTCGCGAGCAGCAGCTCTCTTCTAGGTGGACCTTTAGCTCAAACAACAAACTTGTCAAATGTTAGTGAACTCCATTACAAGAAAAAAAGAATGCTGTGCTACTTGCTAGAAAAAGAAGAGCACCTGCTGGCGGCTTTCGATGACTTCGCCTGGAGCGGCGATGATTGGAGCGGGCTCACTGTTTCCTTGACGTCAAAGTACTCCGAGCTGTAGGGGATCAAAGGACCGCTCCTGTTGTTGTCCATCCCTTGGTATGGGAGCTGATGATGGTGGTGGTGGTGACCCCCATGGAGCTCCATCGAGTACTGCTGCGGGGACCTGTTCTGGCTCGTCATCACCATCTTGTTCTCGGCCCTGCATATACCACCGTCAAATGAGTACTCAGAGGACGTGATCTCCGTGGGAGCCCTGCTCTGCATCTTGGTGTCCACCCCTCCGCAGTAGGAGAGGATGTGGAGGAACACGCAAGACGCCGCGCTGTGCTTCATCTTGACTTTGGGACTGGCCCCTTTCCCCTCGGCCTGCTGCCTTCCAAACCGTCTCTTCAATTTCCCACCCTCGTGCTTGGAGGGACCTTTGCCAACCGGAGTAACGCTGGGAACGAGTTGCTCGGGATGCCGTCTCTCGTTCCCAAAGCACGTCGGAGTGGAGCTCCCCGACGACTTATAGTCGGGTGGGCAGTAAACGTAGCTATTCTCCTCCGTCTGTGTGGCGACGGTGCAAGCATGGTCGATGGACGGTGCCCCGGTATGCGGCCTTGAGACCTCACACACCTTGATGTCGTGCATTCCGGAGTCTTCGTGTGAGAAACCACCACCGCCATTTGCTCTTTTTGTGCTGCTACACTCGTCCGAGCCGGAGGATGCCTCGGGGGCGTGGCGTTTTCCATTATGATGATCCAAACCGAGACTCCCCAGCTGGCTGGTCACTGCTTGGACGCTCACGCTGCTGCAATTCTCCGGCATTTTCTCTGGGATGCTTCCAGCGGCAGCATACTCCTTTGGGCTCAATGAACCCGACGAGGCCTTGAGCCATGTCTCGGCCCCTCGGAATTTTCTCTGGAGAACTTCCTGGCCGGTTCCGAATTTCAGTGGCTTTTCTGTGACCGCCAAAACGACAATAAAACAGTAAGATCCACGAAGAAAGTGGAGACAAGGGAGAGATTTCGGTGATGGACCTTGGTTGTTGTTGCTTTCCATGAAATATTCGGATCCCTTGAGAACGTATTCTCCTCCCGATGCTGGAGTCAAGGAGTCATCGTCGCAAACATCCTGCCATATGTAAGTGCTCTTGTACATCCTGGCCAGAAGAACAGCACACAAGAATCATGAGCGGATGTATTCACATACATTGATTTCTCGATACCTCTTACACGACCAGGAGAACATGTTTGGCATGCCGCCGCCGCGCAATATCGTCAACCGGTGCTTCACATCTGAAACATCACGAATCAAGTCAGATACCGAGGGAATCATGGGAGATTTCTCTGGTTCCTGCCAAAGATTTCCACGAAACAAGAGCGATTACCTCGAAGGCGAAGGCCGTCGTGCGAATGCGGCACCTCGATCATGTGTGGCGGCTCGATCTTGCCGCCGCGACAGAGGTAATACACAACCTGCGCCTTGCTCATCATCGGCGGTGATAGCGCCCCTGCCGCCGCCGCTGCCGCCGCATGATTCTTGATCGATGAAGATTTCTGCTCGGCGCTGTGCTGCCCCGCTCGATCCGACCTCGCCATCGTCATCTCCCCCATCTGTGGCATCGCTCGTCGCATAATCTACACGAGAGTGGAGGTGGAGGAGGCGATCCGAGGAAGGCGCCGATCATCTGGACAAACAAAGCTCTGAGAGAATAGAGAAAGGGGACAAAGAAGAGGACAGTAGGGCTTAACCAAGCTTAAGCGCCTACCGTTAAACTAGCCATATCTGGGACGGCGATCGTGCCACGTGCGACGCAACTCCGGCACGCACCGATCCAACGGCAATCCCACCGTCCACGGACGTATGCCCACATTCTATGCGCATTTACTTGTATATTTATATGGTTTTGGGTCACATGGCCCGCTCAATCACACACAATCTAGCAATCCCCATGGTTTGAACGGGAATATTTTTCTTACCACCTTGGTAGTTTTCAACGAATCTCGTTATCTCCGCTCCATGGGGAGGCCGCCATTAAAAATAATTTACCCGATGCGTGGTGTTTACAGTTCATTCCCGCCTGTCAATCAAAACGTTTGATCACATGGAAAGATCAAAGGCAAAGGAAGGGGGGAGGAATAAAAGTATCATTCACGGTGATCGCTAAGTAGTAAAGAATGCTTGTGGTACTTTGGGGTCATGGCTCGTGAGCCACGAACGTGTAGCTTGTCACTTTATACGTACGTACTCTGTATAGTTGTCAGTCGTTAGTTCGAAAGCACATGCCCCCTTTCTTCTTCGCGTATTTATCCTATACTACTACGTTAAACCTTTTTACCAAAGAAATTTACAGAGTTAGGGTTTATCGAGCTAGGGCGAAATTGGAGCGGAGCTATGGTGTCGACGCCGACGGTAGCGGGCGCCGTGCTGGGCCTGGCGATTCAGCTCTACTGCAACGGCATGCGAAAGCTTCCACTGATGCGCCGTAAGCCCTAGCGAGCGATCGATTCTAGGCGGTGATAGTTTTCTCTCGTGCTCGCAGATCCATGGGAGCACGTCCTGTTCATGGGGATCGGCGCCTACGCCATCAACGAGCTCGTGGCGTGGGAGTATCGCACGGAGGCCGCTCTGGAGAAGAAGAAGGCGGAGCTTCTCCGGATCAACAAGAACAGGCCAGTCGAGTCCCTTCCCAGGATTTTCTAGAGCTGTGAGCCTCGAGTTCTTGTAAGAAATGTTGACATGGCAGTCGGATCCTGCTGCTCGTTTCGCCCAAAAACCCGCGGATCGCGAGTTTTCCTGGAAGAACAGCGTCGGTACAAGGCCGCGGGGCGAGGAGAATCGGGAGTTCTTCGCGGCTCTCCTCAGAAAATGCGGGAATTCGAGGGATTTGGCGCGTGGGCGGAGAGCCCACGCCCGGATTCTCGCCAGCGAGCACCTCCGCCGGAGCCTCTACCTCAGCAATCTCGCGATCGAGATGTTTGGCAGGTGTGGAGAGATCGATCAAGCTCTGGCGGTGTTCCGCGCCTTGGACAGGCCGAATGTCTTCTCCTGGAACATCACGCTCGCCGCGCTCTCGCAAAACGGGCACTTGGACTCGGCCAGGGCACTCTTCGCGGCGATGCCCGAGAAGGATGTGGTCTCGTGGAACACGATGCTGGCAGCCTTGGCAGAGAATCCATCGAGGCTCGGCGAGGCCAGGGAGTTATTTGCGCGGATGGAGGAGCTCGGATCCACAAGCGCGACGTCTTGGGTCGTGATGATCGCAGCATTTACCCGCACTGGCGATGTTTCCAGCAGTAGAGATCTCTTCGAAAGGATAGAATCGAAAAATACGGTCGTGTGGACGTCAATTGTCTCGTGCTACGCACAGAATGGCTTGCTTGATCAGGCGAGTGATCTGTTTGAGAGAATGCCGGAAAGGAACTTGGTGTCTTGGAACGTGATGATCGCAGCAAATGCCCAGAATGGGCAAATGCTTAAAGCAAAGGAGCTGTTTGACAGGATGCCCGAGCGCGACGTGGTGGCATGGACGACAATGGTTACCGGGCATTGCCAGAACGGAGAGAGCAAGAAGGCGATGGCTGCGTTCACGGCGATGGATCTCGAGGGCGTGGAGGCCAACGAGATGACATTCGTGAGCTTCCTGGACGCGTGCGCTGCCACCACCGCCATCGCCCAGGGCCGAGCGCTCCACGGCGATCTCCTCCTCCGCCCCGCTGTGTGGAGCAACGTGATCGTCAAGAACGCGGTGGTGAATCTCTATGGGCGGTGTGGAGAGATCGAGAGCGCGCGCGAGATTTTCGAGGGGATGAGCTCCTGGTCGAGGACGATCGTCTCCTGGACGGCCATGGCGACGGCCTACGCGCACAATGGATTTGGCAGGAAGGCGGTGGAGATCTTTCGCGCGATGGTGCTCGAGGGCGTGGCGCCGGATGGAGTGAGCATCGTTGGGATGCTCTACGCTTGCAACCACGCCGGGATGATCGAGGACGGGTGGCAGTGCCTCGCCGGGATCGAGCAGGACTACTCATTAGCCCCTGCGATCGTGCATTACGTGTGCGCGATCGACCTCCTGGGCCGGACTGGGAGGGTCCGCGAGGCCGAGGAGGTGATCAATGTGATGCCGTTCGAGCCAGATTTCCTGACCTGGAACACGCTGCTCGCGGCGTGTAGAGTTCATGGTGATTTCGATCGAGCCAATCGTGCGGCCGAGCGCGTGTTTGAGCTGGATCCCGGCGCGGTCGGGAGCTACATTCTATTAGATTCTTCACGGTAATTTTTCTTAAGCAGGCTTGGCGATTTTGATCTGCCCAATCCTCCCCAGTGATCAGCGCTAAGATTCACGCCAAAGTCGTCCTCCAAGCTGGAGAGCACCAAGAGATTTCCATCTAATCCCTCCTGAAACGGATGCTTGGCACGTCTCTATGAGTTCTCCCAGTTCATGGGCTTTCTGATCAAGATCTCCGGTCACTAGTGAGAGATTCTCGACTATGGCACACGGGAAATCTAAACCAAGCTCATTAAAAATTGAAAACATCAACAAGAAGTTCTTGGTGACTACACTTCAGAGTTGAAGTTCTGCAATGGGATTGCTTTTCTCTAAGACATTGAGGATAAAAAGTGTTGTGATATAGCCCAAGTTAGGTTCACAAGTTCTTATAAGAGACTGCAGCCATCTCCAACTAGACAAAGACCAAGGAGACTATTTTTCCCTATTTCCATGAGAAGCTAACATCTCAAAGCACTCCAAAGACAACCAGAAAGAAGCAGCCCAGCACCAACATTAGTATGTCCCTAGCACACCAAGTGATTGTACCACCCTAGAAGTCATAATAAACAAACTTGTCACTCAAAGATATGTCACTTCAGCCTAGTGATGCTTATTTGATCTTCTGCCAACACAGCCCAGTTACTTTCTACTTGCTAATAGCAGCTTCAAAACCAAACAGGCATGTGCATCTAGCCTAGTTACTCTTTACTTGCTAGTGGCAGCCTTGTAACATGAAAAAATCATGACTTTGCAACACATTGCATATGCCAACACAAAATCTCCAAACATACTTACTTACTTTGGGACATTGATAGAAACATCTTTGTTTGTTCAAATAAAAGAACCTAGATCCACAGAACATATGTAAGCATACTCCAATCTAAGCTAGACCCAAGATGGTTGTAAGTAATAAAACACTCTCTACTCTAAAGCACACTCCAAGAAATGCTATTAAACTCAAATATCTTGATAGGTGAGGCCTAGTTTAACCTTTGTTTTGTTGCTTCCCACTTTATTCTCCAGCTCTATTCTCGAGATCTTAGAATCTCTTGCATATGGTTGTATCAACTAGGTATGCCAAATTGTCATCCATGGAATATCCCAAATCTACCACATAGCCCACTTGGGTAAATCCTTCAAGAAACACAGAAGAAGGGGGTTAAGCAAAACCAAAGCTACTCAACTCACCTATTGGCCCAAAGGACAAATTGGTTGAGCTAGAAGGCCCAATGCCTTATTGCATTGCACAGGAGTACAAGAGAGAATGATGAAGTGTGTTTAGAGGGGATGGGATGACTTGTGGCTGCTGTGTTTTCACTAGCTAGCCACAAGCCACTCTAAAACTAATAGGGTGGGGGCTCTAAAGTGCCAGACAAGGCATAGTTACCTAATACACCTTTTTAAAAAAGAGACTAAGAACACTCTTTTTTTTATCACATCAACTTAGAACCATTATGTTATTACAAGCAAGTTGTGAACCACTCTCTCATGTTTTAGAATTTTCCCTCAAACTCTCTCAATCCTTTAAAAAGAATACTTTGAAGATATATCTCCTCAAAACCACTCTTAGATTCAAGATCATTATTGCAAAGCTATTGCATTGCCACTAGCCAGCTATAGGATGCTCACTTATAAACTTAGAGCCATTGTACTGCCACTAGTAGGTGTTGGGGGAATGAAGGACACTCTCCCAACATTTGCTCAAACATGAGAAAATGTTCTAATGGTCTTCACAAATGCCCCCCCTCTTTGCCCTTGTGGGGCAAGGGGTTTATACAAGGATGGGGAATAAGTGATTTAATTGCATAAACTAGTAGAAACTTTGGAAAACTATAGCACATGTGATTTTTACCCTTTATCCTATGGTGATGTACCATAAGATAACCACAAAATGCAACCTAAACCCTTTATGTGCCATGTGTCACATGTTATATATGCCATATGCCACATGTCCAAGGACAATAGAGGCAAAACCGAAGTGTAGGCCTTAGGCCATTAAAGAAGAATGGAGTCTACTCTAAGCATAGAGCCCAGAGTGAAGTACTAGAGCATGGAATAACTTCCAAGTGTATAGCCCAAAGAGCGAAGGGACAAGAGCATAGAACAACTTAGAATAGTCCTAAAACATCCAACATCCTCATGTCAAAACTAGCACACAAAACGAAGCTAAATGAAGTTTGGTGCTATTTTAGCATACCAATAGCTTAATGTGAAGATATGGAGCTAGCATGGTGTGGAATTTGGGCTTAAACCCAAACCAAATGTAAAACAAAGATAAACATGTAAATGTGAGCTAAACTCTACCTCAAGTTAGTTAACCATGCCCAACCTACCCACTATCCTTATTATACCTTTCGAACCGCCCCCTCTTTAGCAACTAAGCTAACCAAAATCTGAGATACTTTAGTTAGTATCTAAGATTAATTCTTCAATAATACTCAATTACAAATAACATATCATCAAGGAGTGATTCACCACGTCTAAGACTTAATAAAATCAAGCACTGCAGACTAAATGCAACAAAAGGATACTGACATAGGTAGAATTAACATGTTAACATGGAAAAATGATAAAAGTTTAAGGATACAATCCTCCACAACACCATTCAATAAAGTAAGCCTATCACTAATAAATCTTCATCGAGCAAAGCAAGTGTTAATAGTTATCCCCATGGTTATGGATTGGACCCATGCACTGAAGTGCCGAAATCAACTTGCCAAAACTGACCCAAGTACTAACGAATGAGAGAAATGAAATGTTTAATTTATAAAAATAGATTACTTTATTGATTTGCAAGATTTATTACAAGAGTTACAAAACTAGTTTTTATTACGATTCTCATACTCCATGACAAGCTCACGAGCATATGTAAGATTCCTAAAAGGCTCCTAAGTTGATTCACAAGATGGGTAACCTTTCCAGTTAACTAAATACTCTCGACATTAGGCATTTTTAAGCTAGTGAGTACCCAAAATAGCTTTCACCTCATATTCAGGTTCAAATTCCACAACTTCCAATGGTGGACGAATCTCCACTTGACGTGCATCATCTATAGTATAAGGAGCCAAGAGATTGGCATGAAATACATTATGAACATTGGACATCTCTGCAAGAAGATCCAATTGATAAGATACATTACCAATGCACCTCAACACCCGATAGGGTCTAACATATCTCAATAATAGCTTTCGAGATCAAGATCCTTTAATATTCATGTTTCGTGAAGATAGGCATACATGATTCCCCACTTGATAGGATAGATGCTGACGATGTTAATCCTTATCACGTCGATACCTATCCTGAGCTTTGCCCATCACCTCAATATCTCTAGACTAACCTTGGCGTAGTTGCTCCACATAAGTCTCAATGGCCAGAACTAACCACTTTGGACATTGGTTTTGGTACAACAATCTATTGAGGGACCCCACGAACATTCCCTTGCAGCATCTCCTATGGAGAACAGCCAATAGCATTATGAAATGTGTTGTTATAACAAATTTTTGCTATATCCAAATGCTCAACCCAGTTGTGTTGGTCTGCAGCAACATAGTACCGCAGATAATCCTCAACTTGAGCATTCACGCATTCAGTTTGCCCATCAGTTTGAGGATGATAAGTCATACTAAATTTCAACTTGGTACCAAACAACTTGAATAGTGTGCCCCAAAACTTCCTTGTAAATCTCGAATCTTTATCCAAGATCATCTCTTCAAGAAGACCACAAACCCACACGATTTCATGGAAAAAAAGCTTTGCTGCTTGTTTCGCATTTACTATTTCCACAGTTGGAATGAAGTGTGCAATCTTTGACAATCAATCCACAACCACCATCAAGGTATCATAACCTTCAGACTTTGGCAAACAAGTGACGAAATCAAATGTCACACTTTGAAATGGCCATGCTGGTGCTCAAATGCACTACAACTTTCTAGCCTATTTCTAAGTTCTACACTTACATGCTAGCATATAAGGTAGGAACGGATATAGTCCGCTACATCACCTTCCATACCAAACCAAAAAAATCCTTTTTTCAATGAAGCCAAAGTCTTTCGCTTGCCACCATGTCTTGTTGTTGGAATATCATGATGTTCCCACAGAAACAACTACTGTAGATCCTTAGAGGGAAGATACAACTTTTCTTGCTTATAGAATATAAGTCCATCCCGAACTGAGTAGTGAAGCTTCACATTGGTTTGACTAGCAACTTTTGCTGCTTCGCTACCAGGGTTCTGCTTTGACAACTCTATACTTCCATATGAAGCCCGAACATCCTCTAACCAATCCAAACTAATTGCCAATATTGCCCAGAACTGAGTATAACAACTCAGTTCCATTTATCAAGATCTGGGATCTTGAGAACAAGAACTGTAGTCAAGATCTCTTTCAACCGTACAAAAGCACACTAACAAGCTGGTGTCCAATGAAACGGAATACTACTCTTCGTCAACTCAGTCAACAGAAGAGCAATTTTTGCAAAATTGTGGACAAACTTAGGATAGTATCCCACCAAACCGAGAAAGGAAAGAACATTTGATACAATGGTTGGGACTTCCCAGGACTTCACCGCTTCCACATTCTTTGGATCTACCTCAATTACGCCACCACCGACTATATGTCCAAGAAAGTTTATGCGCAATTGTCCAAAAGCGCATTTACTTTCCTTAGCATACAGTTTGTGTTCACGCAACTTCTGAAACACCAGTTCCAAGTGTTTTAAATGATCCTCCAACATTTCACTAAAGACTAGAACATTGTTGATATATAGGACAACAAATTCATCCAAATAATCTCTGAATATTCCATTCATCATAGTGCTGAACATTGCTAGAGCATTGTATAACCCAAACGGCATGACAAGGAACTCATAAGATCCATACCGAGCCTTAAAGGTTGTCTTCTCCACATCCTGATATGCTACCTGTATCTGATGATACTTGGACTACAAATCAAGTCACGTAAAATACTTGGCCTTTAAGAGTTGGTCAAACAAGTCATCAATGTGAGGC